ACTTTTCATTATATGAGTTTTAATTATTGGACAACATTCAGCACTTCTCCTAGCGTTGGCAGCTATGTTATGAGCTCTTACTGTACTTCCAATAAATAAGATATTCAAATAAGATACCCTGTTATATGGTATTCCTCGAGAAGCCGGCGGCGAGCCTCAAATACGTGTGATGAGTTGAGTCATGATACAGTGGGTAGAAATTCCCATGCGCGAGGTTAACCAATGTTGCACAATGTGAAAAGCGGCTCCCTTTGATTTATAATTCCCACATTCGACTAGAACCCTACTCAGCTGATAACATCTCTCTTCTCAGGCACTTCCATTCCAGACAGCTATCTTTCCCACGCCCCAATACTTATCGGATTACGGTCGCTCTTCCACCTAAAGGTTCTTACAATATCTTACAGACTCTTACTCTTCAGCCTCTTACGATATACCTCTCCAAGAAATAAATAAAGCGGCTCGTGGCTACAAAGAGAGACTGCTTAAGCCCCGTCATTAAGGTCCGGGCATAGCCCTGAGCTCACAATTACCACTGTGAGAGTGATCGCGAGCTCTCCGCTATGCCAGAACATTAATGACCTTCGAGTCTTCGCACTTATCTCGGATTGCCTCTATTGCCATCTATGTGCATGACGACCCTTATAAATAAAAGGTTGGACGAAGGAATTCGTTGTATGAGCGGCCCCAAATGGCAATAGAAGTATATGCGCCCAGTGGCACTGTACAATATATGCGAAAGTCAGCTCCAAGCGACATCCACCCTAGGCGCTTTCAGGGTTCAACGACGTTCATTGAAAACAGCGCGTCGGTCGCCGACACATGTTGACGGCACTGGACATCTGTTGATAACGTTGGTCGCTCGGGGAAATCTGTTGACGAAGTCCCACCGCCACTGCGCTGAAGGATGTTATCCTCTAAGCGGCGAACAAATCCGTGAGCAGCGCCACGGACGTCCCCCAACAGACATCCGCTGCGCGTCCAACGCAAACAACAGACGATGTCCAGCAATATCAACGTGTGTCTGGCAACGCTGCGTTTTCAGCGACGTCGTTGAACCCTCAAAGGCTACTTTCAGAGTCCGACGTCCGTCCGTCCGTCCGTCCGTCCGTCCGTTCAGCGCGTGCTGCGACGGCGATCGCTAGAGTAGTGCTGGCAGCGCTGGCACGTGATCCAGTGTTGTCAACAACGGTCAGGCGCCGCCGTCACAGCACGCGCTGAACGGACGGACGGACGGACGGACGTTCAAGTCTGAAACTAGCCAAAGCGCCCCATCAAGAACGTAACGATTGCCGCTGCGCGCCCGGAAGAATTCCTTCAAAGTTTCGGTTGGTCAGGTTGTTATATTCAAACGCTATGTGGTGCCGATAAACACCATCATATCAGTGGCTTTCTCGGTGCATTAGTGTTGACTTTCCCGATTAAGTAAGACTAGCTTTCTACACGGAACCACAGTGCCTAGATTTTGACGCAAATCATACACGCGTTTGAGCATCTCCTTATTTTTATTTTTGAATGTAACTAAATAATTGTTTGTCAGTGGTTGACGATTACGTTTATGCTAACCGTTCCTCTTCCTTTTTATAGCAATACTGTTTGAGAATGACTTGAAGTTATGTCATGGACGTTCCTTCGTCATCGAATTCCTCACCAAATGATGGAGATGGTGCTCCAACTCATTTTCTAGTGGAGCTCGTCACTCTGGACCATCTGATGATGACGTCGAGTGTCTCCAAAAGGTCGAAGGTACTCCAACTGTACTCAACTTGGTTGAAATTAGAAGTTGATTGAGTAAAGTTTGATGAAGCGAAACCTGATCAAATGATGCTCGACTCGATTGAAGAGCGAAGTGAAAATTTTAAAAGAATTGAAGTTTTTTTATAATACCGCTTAATTTTTCAGTTGACGTGCATCGCTGTGTCTCCCCAATTCCTGATTGTTGGTACTTCGACCGGTGGTGTGTCTGTCTATGGTCGGTATTCCTCATCTCGAAAACGTCTTAATGCTCCCAGTGGACCACTGCATTTCATTAACACTAAAGATGGTCCCGTGAGCGCGGTAAGAAGTTCTAAAAATATCTTCGGGTTCTGTATTGTGGCTGAGCTTAATATGCAAGAATGCAAAATGATGATGTGTGACGTCACTTTTTCAGCCAAGTGTAAGAGCTGGAAGTAGTAGGTTATTATTTTGCTTTTCCTCCTCTTTCCACTATTCGTGTTTACCATGGCATTACCCTTTCTTCAGCAATTCATTTTTCTTCAATGAAATGGCCTGTCTCCTCCTAAGCTCACTTATTTTTAACCCCATATCCACTTGCATCCATTCAGATTCCTCTTTTTCTATCCTGAAAGTGAAGTTGAAAGCATTGGAGCGATCACGAAATCTTGAAATTTTCGGGCTTGGAAGACCTAACAATGTTCCCCGTTGGATCGCGATTATTTTCTTGACCGAATCTTACTTCTGAAAAAACTCCATTTTGCTTCTGCTAACTTGTTGAGAAAGGGCTTAATTTCACTCGGCAACAAGTTTTAGTGTGAGAACAGTTGAATTAGTCTCCCGCCAATATCAATATCAAAGCGAGGCACATAAGAACATGGGAATCTTTTCCCCCTGGGGTTCCTGAAGACGACCAATTTGCAGTGTAATTGTGTCAACATTGAACGAAGGTGATCTTTCGAAACGTATGCCGCACTGCAGCTTACGAAGTCTTCCCCGTGTCTTAAAGACAGTTCTTACAATGTGTGTAATAAAATACTCAAAGAGTTCCACCTCAGTTCGGAAAAGGCCTTAAGTAGTAAAGCGTTGATAAAGTAGACTCCCATCGCCCCACTCTCCTCTTGGTATCATATTGAAGCCCCTTCTCACAATCAGTACTGCGGTTGTTGTGCCTGCTTGGGAAGGGAAACTATCCAAAAAGGGCAAAATAGTTTACGATGGTTCAAGGAAGGCTCTCATCGCTGTTTCGTTTGACTATCTGGGCTGGTATCAGCCTCTTCTGTAGTCACGTTTGCTTGTTTGTAGATGTGCGTCGCTCCGAAAGAAGGTCTCATCGCGGTTGGTAATGACAGTGGACGGATTCATGCAATAGAATTCTCCACATCCCCATCACCTGTGAAACATCTGTTAACCAGAGACACGAGAAGATTGAAAAAAGTGAGTTGCAGTGGGCTTCAACAGCGTTCATGATTTCTCTTCGTCATTTGTGGAAACTCACGTCTTCAATTTTTTTTTTCGTAGTTTACGTGTTTTTCCACGCACTTTTCCACTCTTTGCTTCCTTTTCTGGATAAAAAAGAACGGAGCTTAGGCAAAGGGTTCATTTCGATAGATTCAATAGAGTTTATTCACTGAGCAACTGAAAACTCCTTTAGCGACTGTAAAACGATCGTCTACTCGTTTGAGAAGTGCCGCTGACTCGTAGGAAGTAAGTCGAGATAGTGCGGTGTTCAAACGGCATAACATACAAGGTCAAAAACCCATTAATCCAGTCGCATTTCGACTAGTCGCAGTCCTACGGCACCGCAATTCGAGATTTTTGATGTAGAAATGTATTCAGGTGACTAGTTTGATATGGTCTACAGATTCTAAACGACTATATTCTGGCCACGAAAATGGTGCTGTTGTGGTCCATTACCTAGATGTGAGTGATTTTCGGCATATATTTACTTCTTTCGCAATTGAATGGGTGTGATATGGTATGCTGTATGTATTTCCATGTTGCACTGTATGTTGTAAAGAGGGGCCGGAGGTGGTGTAGTGGCAAGTGGCGCACTTCCCACACGCATGGTCATGGGTTCGAGTCCCAGATGAATATATGTCTAGGCCAACCAAGCCTTCCATTCCTCCGGGGTCGGTGATTTGGTGCCAGACTCGCCCGGTAGGGTAAAATCACTGACCTGTACATCGGCTGACCACCGCAAGTCATTGAATAGGCCATACGCACTCATTGCGCTACAACGATCCTGAATGGAAGCCGAGTACAGGGGCGCATCCCTCGAACGTGATTGATTGACGCCAGAACCTTTATCCTTTCATCCTTTATGTTGCAAAGATAGTCGTACACTGTACGGGCAAAACATGTATAGAGGCATTTTACCGTGGTCGGCTAACCAGAGACAAAGAACCGCTCAGAGCTCAGGACGAACGAGTTAGAACCCTTATGTATTAGAAAGAATCCCAAAGAGAGGTAAGGCGAGTGTTATCGGAAGGTTACCTTTTTATACTTCCGGGTTAGGAATTGGAGCCTGTTACGTCGTCAAGTTACTTTTAAAAAGTCTAAAGGATGAAGTCTTTGGGCGTTGATCCATCTGAGGGATGCTTCCACACATTCGACTTCCATTCAGCATTTTAGTGGCACTCTTCGTGGTCTTGATATCTATTATATTTGGGAGGAATCACCTTCATTAGCATTATAGTTGCTGCACTGGAACGCGCAAGGTCTTCGCGCAGTTTTCACTTATTATGCAGGGAGTATTTTCGGGCAGCTTTCGGGAACCCTTCTCGTTTCCTTTCTTGTCTCCGCTGATTACTTGTTTCAATGGAACTGGTAAAACCGACTAAAACGGTTGCCTTTGACTGCCGAGTGTGTCTGACAAGGTTCACGCGATCTGTCTTCGATGACGTTTATTAAAATAGGCTGTACTGGCTGTAGTTCTGAGATCACCTAGAGGGTGTCTTTTCACGTTTGCCAACCGTTGGCTGCCTTGATCATCGGCCACGTCACCTCCACTGTTACATCGTTAGTTGACAAGGATGAAGCACCTGATGAAATCCATTTGTTTTGGTATTGCCGTGTTCAATATCCATCAGTGTCGTTTTTCTCGTATCCTTGTTCGGCAGACATAGGTTATGCTTAAAACCAGTTCTCGCTCAGGGTTAGGGGTTTCAGGACCAGTATGTTCGCCTTGCGTTACTTTGGGCGGATTAAAGGACAGGTCAAAGGTTACGACTTGAGAACACGAACTTATACGATCACAGCACAAAACATGATGATGCGTACATGCTGTTTTATTGCAGGCGAAGTATCTTTTTCGCTCTTCCTATGCCATTGTGGCTACGCTAGATGAGGGACAAATCGTTCAGCTGGACGTGAGCGGGTCAATTGTTTTAGTCTCCACTCAGTGTGCTTCGTATATTTGCAGAGTTGATGATAAAACCGTCGTCCAAGTACGTTGGTTTTCATACTTTCTCATGTATGCTTGCTGTGCTAGTCTTACTTCTCATACAGATAGGAAAAAAGCCACGTAATGTTCCTATGGGTGCGTGTTTCATCTCTCCTGTACACGAAGATTTGTCTACTGCACAACGTGACGTCTTTATTATGACAGCGCGGCCCAACGGACGTGTGTGGGAGGCAAATACTGCTGGAGTTGTCTACAGGTGACTTGTATGGCTATATATTCAGCTTGGAGCTTTTTTTTNTTTTTTTTGTTGAGAAAGGAATGTGGATGGATTTTCCCGCTTGTAGACTCACGTATGGGTATTGTAAACCTGGGTTGATATTCCCAGACTGTCCTTAAAAATTAATTGCCAACTTTATTTATTTTTACAACCGGGGTCGTAGGATGCGATCACTTAAGTAACAACAATCTCTAAGCTTTCCGAAATTTGTTAGAGTGGATGCTTTATTTTTGCTTTTATTTCCTCTCGTCGCCCCTATTCAGAGAAAGTTGCTCTGCACCTTAATTGCATGGCTGTTTTATTTTAACCCTCTGGAAACATTAGACAGAAAGATGCTAGAGATGTAGAAGACGCGTGCGGGGATTTCAACTTATATGAAAACATCCAAAAGTGTGTGAACCAAGTATGTTGTTCGCAAAGTGTTTTAAGCATGTACATGATTCCTGTATTCCCTCCATTACTTTACATGGTGCCTGGTGACTTTACATTGTTGTCTTGATTAGAATTCCGAAGGAGCACACCATTCTACGTGACTATACATATTCCACCTCATCTTCTTCCTCGTCTATCTTTTTTGACAATTGAATAGGGCGACTTCCGAGGTTGTTCCACCGACCCCGTGTGAGAAAATGAAATCTCCTTCATACCAGTGCTACTCTCCTCCTTCTGCTTAGATATAGATTCTTAATATCAGTTTATTGTTCTCTTTTTTGATACACTCTCGTCCAGGTCCACTAGTTACGCGGTCCGGACATCGCACCATTTTTTCTCTTCATCTTCTTTTATTCTCGTTCCAGAACTCACCAACTTCGAGAGAGCGTCATGTTTTCGCGCTCTCCTGTCATTTCTACCCGTTACAATTACTCGTCTTTCCGGAAGAAGCTCGAGGGTGGTCCTACTGGAGTGAGCGATGCAATTACCCTCAGTGTCTTACAGCATATCATTATCGACGGGTGAGTGAGATTTTTTTCTATTCGGTTCGGAGTCCCGTTCCTCTCGACAGATTGTTGATGTGTATACGTCATTTGCATCTCCCAGTTTTAAAAAACCAAGTTGCGGGTTTCTTTCGGGGAAATGACGACCCAGATGTTTCATCGGGGAACCGATGGACGAAATACTGTTTAGAAAGTAACTGATAGTTTGAAGCCAGTTTTGGACTTATTTTATTCGTTAGCCGTGATCCATAGCTCATCAGTGCACTAAAGTGATGTCCTTCTTCTGTTAGTTTTGTCGTTCGCGATAAGTTAACACTTGTTCATGTTGTGGTAATGGTATTGCTGGTCCTTGAAGAAGTTGGGTGAAGGGGTGCGTCGAAACCCACCAGTACCTTAGTGGTATCTTATTTCTGGGCTCTCAAGGAATAGAAGATTCGCAAAGGATGAAAATGCGATTGCTGCGGTGCAGTGTGGTTACAATTGCGACTGTAACTTTTTTCGGGCAGAGTTTCAGGATGTTCGTGAAATATTGAAAAAAACATCGAAAAGAATACTGTAATAAGGATGCTCTGTAGAAAAAATGACTGTTTCGCTTTTCGATCATTAGAATAAATGCACTCTTAAGTGCCCCGTCTTTATCTGCATCTAGCTGATAGTTCTTTCTTCAAAAAGTTCAAAATATTGCACCAAAGTTTGGAGGCTTTTTCAGCTAATAACGGTCTCAATTCTAAACTTCCTATTTTTTATTTTTGTCTGGTCCACTTTGATACTGCTTCCCATCTGCTACTTTTCTCATGGTCGATGAAGTTGTCGTTCTGCCGTCGTTCAATCGTCGGTTTGTACCACAGTGATTCTGAGCGAGCGACACCTCTCGTTTTCTGTATCATGAAGTATTCTACTGCAACTATTGCACGATCAACCAAACTCTGAAAGTGCGACGTTCGTAAATTACATCAGCATAAATACCGCTGGAAAACAAACGAGGGTATAAAGTTTCAAGTTTTGTTTCACAGGGCGTAAAGCTCAACGCACAGTTGATTACTGACAGTTTCAAAGTCGAGAAGTGACCTCCCAGTTCATCGATCCTTATATCCCTCAGTTTCTCTGTATTGGCATTGCCGTTTCCAAGCTTGCACCAAGCCTTGTTTCATACCGGTCCCTCAAAAGCAGCCCTGATACAGTCCGCGATAAAAATGTTCTCTGAGTTATCCCTCTAGATGAATGTGGCTTAAGGATTGTATCAGCTGTATGCCACACCTAGTACAGGACGAATTCTAACAGCGTTGTATACCGCACCATTCACAAGGAACACTCATGTTCGGAATTTAAACAGTCGTGTTCCATATCAGCAGTGGAAGGCAGCTTTGGACATTTTTGACTTCCTATAGTCAGCTCCTCACGCATTTGCAACACCTGAATTGTCTTCTAAACACCGCTTCTATGCCATTTCCGTGATCTTGTGTAAAGACTTTGGTCCCGTTGAACGTGAAGTGAGAATCAGGTACCAATCCGATTCTTATTAACGTCGTCTAAGTTAAGCTCAGTCTTAAGCCGAGCGTTCCACAAGCGCGAAGCGAAGATTTTCGGGTGATCCAGCTACGTGGGTTCAAGTCTAGAAGTCAACATGATGAACGGTTTAGCTTCGGAGCTATGAGGATGGAAGCTGTGAAGTAGAAGTAGATAACACCTGACTCAGCTCTCATCGTCTCGGCATTGCGGTCTCCCTGCTTTTACGTGAGCTTCGGATACTTGGATTCTACGAAGTACACGAAGTCGCTGTCACGAGCTCGGAACCTCCCTGTGGTCCCCATCCGTAGTTCCGAGTCCCCTCATCGTACGAAGTTCTGGGACGCCGTGTTAATAGCAAGGAATCGAAAATCATTTGAGCTGGAGACGTTATGCATTATCGTGCTGACTGTTTACTAGGGCGGCTGAGATCTGGATCCCTTGGGACTTCAAGCGAACACCGCAATGATCAGACTTCTTCACGGAAGCTCTAAGCGAAAGGAGTGCCGTACTTCGTGTCCCTCGGGACGATCCGCTAGACTACTCTGGCGAATGGGACTTTTCTCGAAGTAAGCGGTTTTCCTCGCTCCCTTCTCCGACAGTACCCTATCTCCTATCAACATTTCCGCTTTTCAACCTCAAAAGGGTAACCTAAAAGTTATCTGCGAACTCATGTTAGTCGTGCACTATCTTGTTAGAGAAGGAGAGGAATTCTGCTCGGCTGGATTTTCAATGCTTTCCTTATACTTTTCATCGTAACTCAGATTCAGGCAACGCTCAATGAATATGTGTTTTCAGAGTATCCTTTGTTCTTTCCGTTTCTGGATCTTGCCTGATAGTCTTTGATGTGGAGCAATCAAAACTGGTCTTAGTTAGTGACTTAGAGGAAGGTGAGAATATTCGTCTGTTGTTTTAAGCTATGAAAGAACATTGTGGAACAAGCACTCCTCTTCAATTTGCTTCTGTCAGAGATATGCGGTTGTTGCGTTTGCGGTGCCGACATTTTCGTTCTCCTGCGAGGTATTGCGATNTTTCTGCAGTCTGCTCAATTTATGCTACACTACAAGTGTTGCAAATGGCCACCTGATCTAATAAGGACAGCCTTAGATGCGCTTGGACAATCAACGAAGAAGGTTGGTTATTCCTTGTTGAGAAAATGCACGAAGTGGTCGCTCAGAGTTTTTCTAGACTAATTTGGTTGCGTGGGTTATGCTAAAATAGACTCAACAATGTTCAAATGGCAAATGTTTTCAAAGCAGCATTCGCAATCAAATCTATGTCCGAGTTCTGACCTCAGGATGACAACTCAGCACGTCATAGGATAACTGCAGAAATTTGTGAAATGATAGCTTTCCTGAGCTGCTTACTTAGGAAAGGCAAGCCGATTACCTCTCACAATCAGAAACTCGCTTGTGGAAGGTGAGACCCTAATCGAAATTGGGGTTGTTTCCTACTCAACCGCTAATTCCCGAGGCAAAGTGAAGAAGCGTTGATATTTGAAAGAGATCAATATGATTGTATCTTTCGGATCGTCTGACTTACGCCGGTCTCGAAAATAATGAGTTCGACTCGAAAACTGCTCCCAGACTAACGTTTTAGTTTCTTTATTCGAATTGTTTCGCCGTTCCCGAAAGAGTCCTGAAAGCAAATTCATGTCTCTCTGGATCTGGGAGAGATTGTTACAGCCCTCCACATAATCGTCGTCGGTAGTTGCAATTCACGTCAAGAAAAGTTATATTCGGAATAGCTTTTTATGGGTGCTTTTTCAGAATCACGCGCAGTATTTATAACTCTCGAAGAAGAGGGTACTATAAGTGTCTCACATTTAAAAAGTTTAGTTCTTAACCACGAATCTGATACAATAACTTCGCACATCTTCTGTTCAACAACATCTTGATTGTGATTATATTATTGTAGACAAACTAACACGAATGAGCTGACTCATATTTAAGGTGGAATTGGATTCTCTGAAGAGTGAATTGTGCGAACTTCTCGAAAGGGGGAGTCACCATCCTTCGAGGGAAACTCACGATAGCGCAGCCGCCACATCATGCTCTACAGGTCGTCGCGAGACTCTTTCACGAATTTATTGAATCTCGTAATCGATTTTTTCTGTTTAGGAAACCACGAAGTCGAAGGCGGTGAAATTAAAGAAACTGCTCAAGCTGCAAAGCTTCCGTCACGATCAAGAAGAGTTCGTGCCCGAAGTAGCAGCTATGACACTGCGAAGTAGGTTTTGAACACCGCCCTTATACTGCTGTGTGGTGCTCGAGCTCGTAATCTCCTAATCATCTATAGAGGGGCAAGAAACCTTTCCGAGCCTCCCTTCTCCTTCGTGATTTGCTTTGGCTTAAGTAAGCATCGCTGGGCGACGTGAGTGATATCAGGTGCCTAAGTTTCTGCGCATATTCACCTTCGAACGATTGACTGCGTTGCCATTCAGAAATCCAATTTGAGCCAGGTTTTTTCTCGGATAAAATAATTGATTCGCTATGCGTCCGAATGGCAGGTTCAAAAAATTAAGCTAAGTTGTATTAGGTTGAGTAAAAAGCTTTGATCGACTCTTCATCCCTTTCTAGATTTTTTCGTAGGACCGCTAGGAAGGAATTCGTAATGGGTTGTGGTAGACGATCTCTAACCTGTACTTTTAGGGGTATATATAAGCATTCCCTTGTAAGTGCATCGCAAATATGACTTCAACCTTTAACTGTCGTCCGAAGCTGTCTGAGAGCTATCGTCTATCACGAATTACTGTAAGGACATAATCTACCGACGGATGTCGCAAATATGGTGCAACAAGAAGAGTCATCGAATCTCAATCCACGGGTGCCTCGTGACGAAACACGTTCAAGACAAGCAGAGAAGTGGACTATGTTTGAGGAAGGTTTTACTGTGTGGTCGGTGGACATTCTCTGGAAGCTCTACTTTGGATAACTTACTGAGGAATCCACCGTAAGATCACGCTTCTCAGCTACAGAGTGTGGCCGACGTTGTTCGAAGGAAGCGTCCGCAGCGTGTTTGCCTTTTTCGCTACAGCGCTCAACCGCATGTTGCGAAATTGTTTTGTCAGTGAATAGCCGAACTTTGAAGGGAGATGCTGCTCAGTTCTCCTTGTTCGCCAAGTCTCGCTCTGATTACCTTTTGTTTCTTGCTCTGAAACATCACCTTCTCAATAGAAATTTTGATGACTGCTCGGAACTCAAAAATGAGATCTCCAGCTCTTTCGAATCGCGGCCGCCACCGTTCTGGGCTTCAAAAATCAAAAAAAAACTGTCGGGTCGTATTACTAATTGAGGTCCTCTTTCAATAGAAATAGGACTTAAGCGAGGACTGAAGAACCGATCAAAATTTTTTACTCAACCTATTACAATCAATGCGAAATGCTGAAGAGTCCATATCCCTAAACGACGCATCGCATCTCCATACATTTTTTTTTATAAA